CTTCACAACAAAGAAATCAAAAACTATCAAGCCAGTCGCATTATCACTGCTCCAGAATAAGCACATCGCATTCTTGAATATTGACTGACAGTTGGCCTAAAACATCAGAAAAATGAAAGACGTTATCAAGTATTTGAGGTACCAACTCCAACAAGGTAAACTGATACTCATTCGATATATTACGATTACGAAAACTATTATGAAAACTGACTTTATGATCGACAAAGTGGGGGTTAGTTTAGTGCCTTACTCAAGATTTTAATACGCAACCAACCCCCCAAAGGGGGGTTGTTCAAGTGTTTTAACCCCATTCGGGGGGGGGGGGTAGTTTAGTTTCTTACTCAACACTTGAATGAGACACTAAACTAACCCCCCCCTTTGGGGAGGGGGGTTGGTCAAGTGTCTTAACCCTCCATTCAGGGGTTAGTTTAGTTTCTTACACAAGGTTGGTTGCGTTTTACAAACTTGACCAACCAAAAGGAGCGCTCTGCTCTAGTATATATAAAGTTAATGGCACAAGTTATATTTCTGCAGAAGATAGTTAATTCAAATCCATGTGCACTATCATATACAGCAGTATTATAACAATGTAACCAATTAACATCAAAGAACAGAAAAATGCTGAACTACTCTTATGGCCAAAGTATACTAATGTATGGTGCTTAGTCAACTCCACTTCTTGCTCAAGTGATGCAATCAACAGCTGCCATGATTCACTGACAGGAAGGCACCCACCACGTCTCAAGTATTGTCAATACTTTTCAGTGTCTACGGTTTCCTATATTTAATTAATTTCCAAATAGTTTTACACTGACGAAGTCAGCACATGACACGTCCTCTTTGCAAACAAGCACTGTAATACAGAAATTTGCAGCTTCAAACAGAATAATGAATAACCAAAAATGTTTGGAAAGCTATGTATTTCCAAGTAAATAGTTACAAGTTAATTACATAAAATAAAAAGCAAAAATACATTAGCCACAAACCATAACCTTTAGAATGCATAACATGTTGAAAGCAAACTTAAAAAATATATAATTCAAACAGCAAACCAATGTAAATAATCTGGGAAATCACATCCTTAATATGGGTAAGTGATGATATATTTGCACTCTCTAATCCAGTTACTTGAACAGAAGCATCATAACTTTGGGAAAATGAAAACATCAGCATAACATAAATTACCCCATCTAAAATCCAACCCTTGGTATCCATGTTACGGAGGTAACATTTTTGGATGAACACGGTTTTGGTCTACCAAAGCCGAGGTGGGAGATATTGTGCTGAGGGCTGTATGGCTCTGGGATGGTGATAATAGTGTCTTTAGCAACCCCTTTTAGGCACTGCGCAGCATCCCATCATATCTTTCCACCCATATGGGGTATAAAGGAGTTCTCTGACATCTGTACATTGATTATTCTCATGAGCTAACAGTATCAGCCAACCCAGGGAAGCTGAGAAGACAACCGGGGACAGCTACTCACCAGTTGTAAGAAACCTACCTTTACCATTTATAGATGTCACCTTTCTGGGAGCCAATGGCCCTGTTACACCACCACAGAGAGCTGGCATTTCTAGCATACCTGTGAAAGTTCTGGTACACCACCACAGAGAGCTAATGGTTCCAGCAAACCCAGAGATCAGGACATCTACAAATATACCCATTAAAGTTATCTGGCATAGACCAAGTGTCTGGAAGTGCCAGGAGGAAGCTTAAAACCATGAAGAGCCAAAGTAACATATGAAATAGGATATGTGGCACTACATAAGTCTAGAAAGACCATGATCGGTGTGCTTGAAAGGCCCAGGTTTGAGGACAGAACCCTGTTAAAGAAGCTAATCCTCTACAAAGAACCTGGGACTTCATGAGACCTAGAGAGGCCCCCTTTCTCTCCCTCTCTCACACTCGCTCCTATTGGTCCACTCCCACTCCTGCTCTCATTGGCTCGGGGCAGGCTACTCCATTCACAGTCTGGCTCCTATAAACCTAGCCCCTTACACCCTATTGGCATATTCATCGCCCTGATGACAGAGGCAGTATGACCTCTGAAACGTTGGTTAACATTGAACAGACTATACAGCGCAACAACCCAGAAGACAGAAATTTTCTAATTGACATTACATTAGTTTTACTTTTAAACAGAAATCAAACTATAAACTGATTCAAATGACAGTTACATCTACGATATCTGAGTTAATATATACATGCACATTCATAAGCACACACTGAGTAATTTTTTTCGTAGAATACCACCTTTTTCAACAATCCACTTGCATCATAACTTTGGGAAAATGAAAACATCAGCATAACATAAATTACCCCATCTAAAATCCAACCCTTGGTATCCATGTTACGGAGGTAACATTTTTGGATGAACACGGTTTTGGTCTACCAAAGCCGAGGTGGGAGATATTGTGCTGAGGGCTGTATGGCTCTGGGATGGTGATAATAGTGTCTTTAGCAACCCCTTTTAGGCACTGCGCAGCATCCCATCATATCTTTCCACCCATATGGGGTATAAAGGAGTTCTCTGACATCTGTACATTGATTATTCTCATGAGCTAACAGTATCAGCCAACCCAGGGAAGCTGAGAAGACAACCGGGGACAGCTACTCACCAGTTGTAAGAAACCTACCTTTACCATTTATAGATGTCACCTTTCTGGGAGCCAATGGCCCTGTTACACCACCACAGAGAGCTGGCATTTCTAGCATACCTGTGAAAGTTCTGGTACACCACCACAGAGAGCTAATGGTTCCAGCAAACCCAGAGATCAGGACATCTACAAATATACCCATTAAAGTTATCTGGCATAGACCAAGTGTCTGGAAGTGCCAGGAGGAAGCTTAAAACCATGAAGAGCCAAAGTAACATATGAAATAGGATATGTGGCACTACATAAGTCTAGAAAGACCATGATCGGTGTGCTTGAAAGGCCCAGGTTTGAGGACAGAACCCTGTTAAAGAAGCTAATCCTCTACAAAGAACCTGGGACTTCATGAGACCTAGAGAGGCCTTGTTTTGGCCACCAATAAAAGATCTCTTTAACATAGCTGTTTTAGATCCTATGTACAATACTGTACTTCATGGAAGGTGCTGGCAGATAAAGTGAATGGGCATGCAAAAAACATTAAGAAATGGTCGCAGTGCAAGGGTCAGTTAGGCACCCACACCATTTACAATCTATTCTAACATAAATTACAATAAACGTTTTGACATGTTAATCAACTACATTTGGATATGTTCAGCAACCTGTCTTGAAGCATAATCAACACTGGTGGAACTTGAAACTGCACACACACACAAAATAATAACTTCAAATTTTTTTATTATACTGTCTTCATGTGGCACATGAAGTCTTCATGACAAAGGTGGATATTCATCAACTGTTCTGCAGAGTGGACACACACCTCCTTTCTGAAGCCATCTAGTTATACACTGAAGACAAAAATGATACTAACGTCATTTGTCCTTAAGACAACGGTGGGAACTCATCAGCCATACGTGTGAACACACGGCAGATTGGGCAAATACTCTCTGTGTGAAGCCATTGTTTTATGCACTGTTGAGAGCGAAATACAAAATTAAACTGTGGCACAGAGTATGTACAATATTTTTGGGCAATAATTCATCTTAAGGATCATGTTATCATATTTGCTTATGCAACAGCTGCACTATTCCTATTACCTTACAATGAAAACAGTACAGATTTTATCTGTTGATGAACGTAAGAAATATGCTTATATAATCTGTTTAGATACACTAAAGGATGTGAGGTACATCAATGAAATTATTTTAAAAACCTCACTGTAAGGCCTCCCTAAAACAAAGAGAAAAATGCCTCATGAAAAACTGTACTGATGTGTAATGGCATGGTACAATGTTTCCATCAGCGGAAACCAACAGACTGCAACGCTCATAAATGATGTCCTGCTATCTTCACCAACATACCGAATTCACTTTTTCCAGTAGAGAATTTTATTATCACACTGTTCTCATGGAAAGTTCTTAAGACCAAATAATTTTATTACTTAATAATGGTAACTCACTTGCCTTCCTCCTATTACCACACACTATTACCTCAGCATTCCAGAAAGTGATGCAATACTGAAGGAGTTTGCTTCCGAGTGGTCTCCGAAGATCACAATGGTTTAAACTTTTGTTTACACATAGCAGGTACAATTACCATTAAATTCAAAATATATATTAAACCCCTCAAATTATAATCAAATGTAAATGTTTAATATTAGTACAAAAACCATACCTGAAGTCAGTTCTCAAAAAGTACAGGGACTTCAAAAATTTATGAAACAAACGTAGTTGTTAGTTAGGAATCATTCTTTATAACACAGGCATCGTCTATTTGCCAATTTCCAAGCATATGTAATATTAAAAAACTTGTCCTGTGATACAGGTTAGACTTTGTTATGAATTATGGTGTGCATTGACAAATCTATGTCCCCATTTTTTCATTATATATACTCAAGCACAGAATTAGTTAATAACATGCAATCCCCTACTCTCACCCATAGATGTTACCAGCCGTTTGGTTCGACTAGACATCAAAGTTAGTACAATGCAGCAACATCTTAGCATGAAATATATAACATTTTCCTCACCTTAGTATGGAAAGAATGTTTGCAATGCAAGGAGGTCTGGTCTTTATCCATGGACTCCATACAAATACTACATTCCTCCTCTAAACTCTCATTTGATTTTGACCAGACCGATGCAGAATTATGAACTCCACTCCATGCAGTACCACCAAATTTGTCCAGACCCATCGAACCTGTATTAATAGAGATTCTATAGAAATCTCTATTGGTATTCAAATATAACATGCAACATGACTGAGTTAACTTTTAAAACTACCCAAGAGCCCCTGACACACTTTAATGATTCATATGACTCTATTTTAAGATTATCATTTCTAAATTTCATTTACTCTAATCACCTTTAAGACCCACATTACTTCTTCTTTTTCCGGTTTAACAATGTTTGTACATTTTCCGGCACCCTTTACGGGTCCCCAACTTTTCAGTTGGCTTGATCTATGGACATTCGGTTGGACTCCTTGGACAAGGGATCGGCCCGTCACAAGGCCTCTACCTGTACACAGGACAACACAACACAGAAAAACATCCATGGCTTGAGTGGGATTCGAACCCACGGTCCCTGCGACCAAGCGGCACAAGACCCACGCCTCAGACCGTGTGGCCACTGCGGACCCGGACCCACATTACTTAAAAACCTAAATATATTTTGTGGGATATGTTGCTAAACATTCACCTGAACAAAATCTAAAATAAACATGTTATATCTCATATAATATTTACATAAAGCTCAGTGACTTGAAACTGATGTTATCATGGTCATTAAATCATGACACTATAAGAGTTGTCGTCAAAATATTTTAATTTCACACTTCACTAAGCTGACATCTAACTGCAGTAATCTATATATCTGTATGCTTGCAACATCTAGCATACATTCAATAAACTATTTAAAAACCCAGTACATTTCTAGTTGAGACACAACTTGCACGGACAGTAACTGGGTAGTATATTTAGATATAGCTCAGGAACGTTTGACACATTCTAATCACACTTTTCAAGAATTAATTAAATCGAACATTATTTTTTGATAGGGACAAAACCTGACTTCGGGTGTTTATGTTACTGTTCTAACCCAGGTTGTCCAGTGACTGAGACTAGCTCTTTCTATCGGACCCAACAGAATAGACGCCCCTGCCCCATTCACCTGAAGATGAGAACAGATTCGGTTTTCAAAATGTCGTATACATTTTTAACCTTTGATGAGGGACAAAGTCCAAAAACACAATAAGCCTGACTATATTACACTGTCAGAACCCTACAGAATCCAAATGAAATGAAATTTCATCACACTGACTTTCGTTACAGAAATACTTCAAAGATGCCATGGACCTTTAGTAAGGCATAAACAATGTTTTTGGTATATTAATTTATTATATTAGTGTTTGTTTTATATTTTACTGCAGTCCTCCTAATAATGATGCCTTAAATGACTCAAGCCTGAATCATTCATCTTTCTCATGGCTTGAATGGACAATTGACAACTCCAACCTTTCACTTGCAGATCTCATTAAGATTAGAGACTTCATAATCCTCCTCCTCCTCCACCCAGATTGCAGGAGTTGCAGGGTCTACTAGCAGACCACTGTCATTCAACCTGCACTACACCCATGGAATTCACATCAGAGTAGTCTCGTTGCAACAGAAGTTTCATTCCAGTAATCTTGCATATCTGGACACATGCCTGGAAGTCTTCTTTTCGAATAGCTTTCAATTCTTTCATTGTGTATTTAAGAGCATCTTCTTTACTGTGTCCTTTAAATTCAGCTCTGAGTTCAGGAAAGAGAAAGAAATCACATGGTGCCTAACTGAGGTAGAGAGGTACCACAAAAACATTGTTTCATCACATATTCCCATCTCTCAGAAGTTCCATTCTAAACAAATCACATGAACACACTCAAAATATGTGATTTATACATAAGATGAACAACGTCTCATCACTGAAAAATGCCAATATGAGCATGATGTTTTATCGCAAATGCTGCGATTCTGTTGGACAAAGTGAAATGTAGCAATTGTTTGTTTTTTCTCCCCCCACACCACATGCATAAATACAAGGTTCATCGCTAGTTACAATGCTGGAAGAGAAGTACAGACCTTCTGTAGCACACGCATAGTGACCAAGACACACAATCATGTGATCCCACTTTTGGTCATCAGTAACTGCGGAACAATATTTAACAGAAACTTTACACATGCTCAGCTCAATGGTGAGAATGGCACAAGCCATACAATATGCTAACTTCATTAGCAAGCTCATGAATTGTCAAACGATGGCCAGCATAAATAAAATGTTAAATACGAGTACTTCGTTCTTGGACACTGATGAACGGTCAAATTGTCTCGTCATTCTCAACTTATGGTCAGCCAGTTTCAAACTTTGAACAATACTGGAGTTTCGTTGCAAAGCCTAATGCTTCATTATAAAGGGATAACATACTACATATAAGATAAAATTATGAAATTATTAATTAAAAGCATTTTGTCTTTCATCACGGTGCTTACTAAAGGAATAAATGACACCCAAAGATATTCAGCATATATAAAAAACCATGAATGATAAAAAATATGGGGAATAAACCCTGAAGATATAAAACGGATAATAAAAATTTAATTATATTTCCCTAGGCTTTAATTTACAATAAGCTTCATTCTATTTGTTAAACAATTTAACCTCCAATTTTAAACTTTAATAGTTACATTTTTAGCAATAACATTTACAAAAAAATGTGAAACTTAGAAGCAAGCAACACTTATAAATCCTCCAATAACAACAGAAGTTCATATCAGAAATTAAACACTCAGTAATCGATCCACTAAAAATAAGTAAAAAAGTAAAGTTGTCCCCACTATACACAATGTAGGCACTTGGGAGGAGGGGAAGAATAGCTCCTACTCATTCTTAACCTTGGCACTAGATGGGGGGTGAGTGGTCGGTGTCACACCCCAGCCGCGCTTTACACCCAGTAATAAACAAAGATACCCAATGGATACGAGGCTGGGTGGGACCCAGAGCTGGTCTGAACACAGAGGCTACAGGAAAGATCCTCTGCCCCAATCAGAGATCAAACCCCAGTTGTCCAGTCTATAACCAGACACTATACTGTCTATTATGAAGTTAAAAATATATGTAATAAATAACACACTGTAAAAGACTGTAGTATATCCAAAACATTGTATATGTGGATACTCACCTGAACAAGATCAGTTATAAGCTGAAGCGCGTGGCAGTAATTTACGAAGTAAAATACATTTAAAATTTGTGAAGACAGTATTAGATTAAATATTCTGACTGAATACAGAACAGGGTGCTTCAATATGAGAACAAATAGAGCATTACAACTTGCAAACTCTAGCACATTTACTGGACAAACACGGTGAATAAGAAATTATATAGTTACCTTGCTTCTTACTTTCTTTCTCTTTTCGAACTTTATCCACCATATCAATTATTTTTGGCAGAGTAAAGCCTGTTAAAGAATTGTTACTCCTTTCACGTACTATTTTAACATACGAAGACAGCTCATCCCTGAAATTATAAGAATAAAACATAAAATCTGCAATATGATAGGCCAATGAGGCTAACTGGGTGGAGTTTCTGAAATAAAGTTGGGGGGAAAAGACCAGAGTCTACCAATGTCTGTATGTGCTGTAGGTTAGACCAGAGTTCTGCAAACTTTCTACACCCACAGTACATGCCACACCAGAAGGTTTCGAAGAAAAGGGGGTATAAAACTGTACATGTCCATAAATATGTACCTACATTTTGGTCTAAATCCTTGCCCTTTCAGCATGCAGACATACGAAAAGAAAATATGATACATGTTGAATAAAACTGTTGATAATGAATCTGTGTGTGTATTGATTTTCTCCAACTAAAATGTGCTAATATAGTACAATTTCTCATAAAAATTTTGTGGCACACATGAAACCCTGTAGTAGCACACTAGTTAGTTTAGTGAACTGTAAAACGAAAATATTCTGATGACAATTGCTGTCTTTTTTTCATTTCCAGTACACACCATTCAGCATGGTATGCATTGGTGGTTAGCAGGATTCACGACCCATCAGTACGTGGGTTCGATCGGGACCGCGACATTTAATGCTCCTGCTGTGACCCCCCTTTTCGCGAGACGATGATGAAATTGGAGTAATTGTTGGGATGCCACGGAGAAACCATGGAGGAAAACTCCGTGATGCCTGGACCAAGGCCTTGCCCAACAAGTTGTAAATCTGAGCACCGCCGGGAATCAAACCCGGGACCCCAGTATTACGAGCCCAGCGTTCTAACCGCTAGACCACCGTGGCGGTTACAATTGCTGTTACAAACAAAGTACATCATAAAACTTGTCAAACTTCTGTAATTCCACCAGTATGCAATTTGAAGCAGAATAAAGCAATTAGTGATGATGATGATGGTGTGTCAATTTTTAATTGTGCAGATACAAATATTTCAGAAGTAGAATCTAGTGACAGTAATAATGAAAAATCTGATCGTAGAAGTAGCATAGCAGACAGTGAACGAATTCCAGATGCAAGTGGGTAGCATAATATGAAATGACAAATAAAAATCTGGCTTCTGGGTGCCCCCCATTGGCATGATGTTCATGCGAAGAACACACAATAACCTTTACTACTTGGGAACAGAGCATTAAACCCCCATACAATGGGAATGCCAGCTGGATTTTAAATATGGGGTTAAATGATTTAGCAGTATCTAAGACACACATCCACCTGGACTGTATGCATGCAGATCAATAAAGGATAATTCACAAAATCATGTGAATATTAGCTATATCATTTTAGTTTATGCTGTAACAGTGGGATGAACAACTGTTTTCATATTTTCACTTTACACTTACACTTATTTCACAAATATGTACTGGCTTACCTTCATAAAAATAGTAATCTTAGATTAATTATTTGTTAATATTGCTTTCATTATAACAAAATCTAATTATTACGAACATAATTCATTTTTCTACAAAAGTCATAACATTTTACTAATACATAACAATTGCCTACATAATTAAACACAAGAAAATACAATTATACTAAGAAAACAATGTTCAAATCGTAAGAACGAGGCATAAACTTACTCTGTTTTATCTGGGAAGTTCTTGAGTAGCTTGTCCATGAGTTTATGTGAGCTGCTTTTTGTCTTTGGTTTTAGTGCTGATGTAATGTTAGGCCTTGGCTCAAGAGGAGAAGCTGTTGATCTGGAAAAATGTTTTAACTTCATTTCACCAAACAGAAATAAAATTTGTTCTAACACTACAAAAAAAAAATACTTCTAATAATCTAGGACACGATCTGCCTTACAACAGACAAAAGATTTTAAAATAAAAACAATTTCATAAAAATTCTAACATAAACCCTAAGTTTCAAGACACACTATAATTAAAATATTCACTTCTAGGGTAATATTATCATACATGAGTGAGAGTAGGCCATAAGATGGGAAAATGAAAAAAGATTATTGTCAAATTAAATAAATATATATATAAAAATAAATAAAGACATCAGGGAAAAAATACAAATCTGATATATAACAATTCTACATTTATTACATTGGAAATAACTTGCTGAAATAATAAGCTCCGCTAGGATCACAAAAAATAATGTGAAAAACGATACAAGGAGCATGAAAGGAGGCAACTTTGTCTTCTGTGTCACTATCAACTACATCTCCTGCTGGGAATGATTATCATAATGATACAAACTTTCACAAATATATTTGACAAAATTTTGTTCCAACAATAACGCAGCATCTCACTTCCACCTTCAGGGCAAAGTGACCTGCTTCTCATGTTTACAGCACTGGGGCATGAGGCTGGGGTAAGTCATGCCCCTTGCACAAAATTCATGAGATAAAGAGACATTGTTTTTCCATTTGTATGTCTTGTCTCTGAAAATACTGAACAGATTTTATTAAATATGACACTGACAGCCTACAACAAGTATTCAGGTGAGCTTACTTTTTATTAAAATCAGTTCAATATAACCCCCACTTCCCACGACGTTTTCATCAAATCTTACAATTTCTTAAAAACAGATCACAATACAAAACACTGACAGGTACATGACATAAAAATAATACCATTAAGATTTGGCAAAATTTTAATAAGGTGTATATTAATATAATACAACAGTGTGTGTACAACAACGAGTTAAGATATCAGAATGTAAGACTTTTCTAAATCATAATCATTAAATATAAAAATCAGAATCATGTCAAATCCCAGTCACTTCACCCAAAAAATGGGGACTGCTGATTAATTTATGTAATTTTAATGACGCTGTTTCAACTACACGTGATTTAGCATCAAATGCAATTATGATGAGTGGAGAATATGTAAGGATCTAAAAGGAGCCAGTCACAGCCCATTTCCAAAAATTACTCAGCATTCATTTGGAAATTGACTAAAAACACACACAGAACTCAGTCAGTCCAGCTGTTTACCTCGTAAATACACGTATTAAAGTGCCTCATCACTATATCAAAGTGCTCAGCACAGTTTATTTCAAACAACGGGAACACAAATTAAACTGAAGAATGTGAAGACCTTGCCAAAATAACCACCATCTTTACTCACATGTTCAATGATGTCTGTAATAAAGGTTTTGGAGTTTCAGCTGGCTTTGACATCTGGTGAAGTTCTTGTTTTGGCACCTCAGCTGTTGATGGTGAGATTTTAAAAAATGACGCTACACTTGGAGTATCTTTCAGCTGGTCTGTTCCAAAAGCAGATGTACTTGGTGGCATAGTATTTGCAACTGGAGTCAACCCAAAAGCTGATGATGGCAATTTCTTTTCCACTGGTACTACTTTACTTTCTGATGGCAAATGTAACTTATCTGCTGCAATTGTAGCACTTGCCGCACTATTAGGGATCTCAGTACGAGATAAACTTGGTGCAAGCTTGGCTTCTGGTTGCTGTTGTACTGAAGCCTGAAATGATACAGAACTGAAACAAGTTAGAAAATATATGCACAGCATAATAATTCTGGCATGTCTGCTCTGTTACTGTCTCTTTGTTTTAAATTAATGAATGCTCCCTTAACTCTGAGATTATAAGTGACACCAGTGACATCAGATATTGAGGTCAATATCCTTGCATGTCTGGCTGGGCGGTGATCGATCATATGGAATTCTCCTCAGATATTTGTGTAGGTAGAGTGTTTGTCTGGGGATTCCACAAAGTCACTTTCACATGTAGAAAATCACATAGATCTTCCCTAATAATGAAGGCAGCAAGGACCTCTAAAACGTTGGTAAACCATCACAAATCTTAACCTGACCGTGCCAAATAAAGTGAAGCCTCGGAACTAAGAAGCACAGTTCATAAGATATCTGGCAACTACTTTACCCTTTTATAACCAGGTGGGGGGTGATATTTAACAGGCTGTATAAAGAAAAAATACTTGGCAGAAATTAAAAAAAATACAAAGACAAATATGTATACCAAATTTCAGAACCTGATGAAGTGAGGTGTAAATTTTACTTCCATGTGTATTGATTTTCTGTCAAATGGTCCATAAAATATCAAAGCTATATCTTTTTACCAATTAACTACATACAAATTCAAAACAGTTTTTTCACAGAAATTTTTCACTTTAAAGGACAGGTAAAATAGACTGACAAAAGAGTGTGTGTGAGTTTGTGCGCGCGTGCACACACATGTCCATGTGCTTGCATGCTGTTCTTCAATTTCACAATTATACAAAATTCATACTGAACATGATTAAAAGAATGCAGTCCTAAACCTGCTCAGCCCATTTAACAAAATTGTGAAAAAACAGAATTTTTTCAAAACAAAATGTAGTAAATTAACAAGATTCACACTTCGATGGGAAACACAAGAAAAATACTGACAAGGGTTTAGAACTACTCTTTTCAATCAACATATAAAACATACCTTGTCAGTTCCTATGGAAGCCTGAGGAACACGAGGAGCGGGGGGCCAGAGAGCTGGGCCTGAACTGATAACTGGTGGTCCCTGTTGCTGTCCATACTGCATCGCCATTGGCAGTGGATAAGCTGTTTGCGGGGTATTATCTAAAGAATGTGGAAGAAGCAAGACATCAACGTGTATCAGAATGAGATTTTTTTTTGACAAAGAGGGTATCTAAATTAATGAGTAATGGGAGAAACAACAAAGTAGCAGCAGAACAGCTATGCAACCACTGGTAAACATTAACCTTAATTACAATTAGCAGTTATTTAATGAATTTCATCAATGAATAAAGATTGGGAATTTTTCAACAAACCAACTTGTGCTGTTTCATCTGTGGATAAAATGCCTCAGGCAACTCACTCTCACCTGTAATCAGGGAGTTATCATGCTACAAATCCTGAAAGTACGAACACGCACACACACATAATACTTACAAAAATATGATTGACTGTGTAACATAGGTTGATAACCATAGACTGGTGTGGAATGCTGTAACAGGGGCACACCTGTTGCACAAGTAACTGGTGATGATGGTACGTGAACACGTGAACATCCATTCTGTTCAAAGTTCTTCTCATCTGACCTCACCAATGTTTCAAGAATTTGTTTAAATTTTTCTTCTATCTTTGAATCTGAGGAGTCCTCTTTCTTATCTACCTCACTCATTTTCAGCATTGTTTCACTTGGTGGTAATGCCGTGTCTTTATTCATTAAAGTATTTTCAATTACTTCACTTCTATTTTTTATTACTTTTCTGAGTTTCAGTGCTTGCTGCTCGACAAATGCGAGATCATCTACTGCCTTCTGCCGTTCCAATTTCATTTGGGCCAATTCCTTATCTTGTGCTATAAGTTTCCCCTTCAAATCCTGTTGCTCCTCTAAAGCTTTTTGAATAATTACTTCCAGTGTGTCCACAGGACAACTGGGTTCTTGAGGAAGATCTGTCCAGTCCAGTTTAACAAAGTCTGCTACAGTAATTTTTCCTACTTTTTCATTCAGTTCTGTGCAATTAACCTGGAATAAACAAACGTATAAGAAATTCTGTACCAAACACAACATGAAACTGCTAAGAAACTATACAGGCCATATGTGAATGTTATTTGTGAACAGTTGGCGCACAGTATGCATGCTATATGTAAGAGTGGTAACTACAAAGAAAATGTTACAGCACCTGTAACATGGGAAGATAACAGCAAGGTGGGTCTTGAGGATGTAAACAGTGAGGGCTCGAGGTAGATGAAACTGGCTCAGGATCATGCTCAATGGTATCAGGAATGTTGAACCTTCATGTTTTACCACCAGAGTGTAATCTGAAAATTTCTGTCTTCTGGGTTGTTGCGCTGTGTAGTCTGCTTGATGTTAACCAACGTTTCATCGCCCTGATGACAGAGGCAGTATGACCTCTGAAACGTTGGTAAACATCGACCAGACTACACAGCGCAACAACCCAGAAGACGGAAATCTTCATACTCACCGCTGTGAAAACCTCAAATCTTACAGAGTGTAATCTATTTCTCATTTAAACATACACAGAAAGCAGTGAAATTCTCAGATGTTATAAAGGATCATTTATCAAGATAGGATCAGTTATCAAGATGGCTGTCTTCTCGGATGTTGTGCCACGCAGCTTGGTAGACAGTGATTGATGTTTCACAGGAATTTGCTGCCTCCATCATCTGGGCTCTTCTGGAATATTGGTTATTACCTACCAGACTACACAGCACATCCCAGAAAATACTTAATCATACTTGTCGTTGCAAGAACCTGGAATCTAACTGTGCAGTTACCAAACAACAAGAAAATGAAAGTTCTTTCAACCCACAATAAAAGCAGACAGACAGAGCACACAAACCAAGTTCATAATAAGGCTCCTTCAACTTCTGATACAGAAAATATGGGGATAACTAAAAATAATTAATAAATGTGCAAAAATATAGCACTACCAGTATAAGATTTTAATTTTTTGCTGAATACAATGGAACAGATAATTTCAGGAACAATGTATGAGTAAGTCACTGCTATCCTTGAACACTGACTAACTTCCTCCCCACACATGTTGTTGGACACCTTGCTTCTTCTTCCTCGTCCCATGAAACCACTAAAAGAATTCTCATCCCTCCTTCCCATCCCCCATCTCCTCTTCTCCACTGCCTGGTCCTGAACAGGCTGTGTTCAGCCATTACATCGTCAAAGAATTTCCTTCTCTCCTTTTTACATAATCGCTGATAATCCCACCCAGTTTTCATGGTCACCACTTCTTTTGTAACCTCTCTTTCTCACCATGTACCCCTCAAAAACCTTTTCATCATTTCTTTTTCTCATCTACATACCCTTCTCCCATTGGCTAGCAGGCCACTATCTGTTCCACCAATCAGAACCATCAAATGCTATTCACCACCCATACCCTGCCCTATCAGCAGCAACAGACCCTAGTTTGATTGCTTGAGGCTCCCGCCATGACGGAATCCCGTTAGCGTTAGCAAAATTCTTGTTTCCATTTTAAGGCTCGGTTTA